AAAGAGAAGATGGAAAAAAAATAAAAAATAAACAGGTCAGGAACTTTGAGAATTCCTGTTGTTCGGAACTTCATATCGCTGATATGAACTGGGACTTGGCCTCAGGATGAACTGATCACAGTGATTCATGAAGGACGATTCACAAGTTCATTCTTCAACCTGTACAATGTGCTAAAATGAATAGGTCAGATAATAATAGGGCCGGAAATACACAGCTGAATTACCTCATCACGCTGAAATTTACCCACAAGGAATTGCTCCTTGGCGCCGAGAACGGCAGTTATTCCTGCTTTACCGCCGGGATACAAATCAGGGAAATATTTCCATGTTAAATGAGGCATTAAAACTGTGAGCTCTTTAATGATCTGACATTCAAGGTATAATGAAGATGAATGCCTGCAGAGACAAAGTGGACTTAAAAATCAGCCAGAGTGGAAATCCTCCATCGCAGAATGACTCACCGATCTTCCTGATGAGGTCAGTCAGAGTGGCAGAATAGGCCTCCAACTGCAGCTTGGCCGACTCCATGTTTTCCTTTACGGCGCCCAGGGACACCTCAGCCTGGGAATAAGAAGACAAAGTCTGGAAAGTGTCGTTTCAGCTCTGCACAGGAGGCGCCGATCAATAGCCATAGATTGTGTTGTACCAGTGTGGATATGTCTGTGTTAAGTACCTCAGAGGGGATTTGGGACTTTGCTTTGTCAGTTAGCATCTCATGTTCGGCGAGCTCTTGTAAAACAGAGTCGATCTGGGAGGTGAGGTGAGCGGAGGCCGTCCTGGTGTGTTTGGCCTGGCTCAGGATGGATTTGGATTCCTGGGCCATGAGAATGAAAAAGTCATCGACAGATAAAGAGGCAGATTTTTTTCTTCAGAGCTGAGAATTTAAACCGTTTTTTTTTTTTCAAAGTTCTTCTTCAGAGCTGAGAATTTAAACCGACCACAAATTACTGCTGTGGTCCAGTGTTGGTCGTCTCCTTTCACAGAGCAGTATATCCGTTAATTATTGCTCTGCATAACACTGGAAACTGGGGGAAATCTGTGAATTTGATTCTGTGATAAGAAGAGGAACTGTGACGTCGGTGTGACCAGCCAACACCTCAAGTGACACATGGGCTGAGGTGAGAAATGTATTACACTCGTCATTTTAACTATATATATAACTACATATATGTTTATTATTCCGGTCCCCTCAATGTGCTGCTCTGAGTTTGATTCTACTCCACTAGAATTGATTATTTGATGACATAAATGTTGTTCATTTCTCCCACAAGAGACATTTTCTGAAAAGATCAAATTGGAATCTTCTAAATTCTGTGCCAAATGTCACAGTAATCGATCCAGTTGTTGCTCACAAATAATTCCAAAAACAGTTCGTTTAACCAAGAAAAGAAGAAAAGAAAAATGAAGAATAGATTTTCTTTTTCCCCCGAAAACTGATGTCTGGGACAAACTGATGAGTAGGATCACAAAAGGTCACCAAAGTATCGTATTGAATAACAAAGCTGTTATGCCTTTGCCGCAGCCTGTGTGGATTTCTCCGCCTCTCTGGTGATGTTGCTGGACAGGCTGGAGTCTTCCTGAGCAGGTGTTAGCATCTTCTGTATCTGCCCAACTTTCTTCCTGACATCAGCCAAGACTTTTTCCCTCAGCGGTCTCTCTTTCTTCATGGCAGCCTTGGTCTGAGCCTGTCGCTGAGGCCACTCTCTGCTCATGTCTTGGATGAGATTGGAGAGGGGAAAAAATAAACCAGTCAAAACGATGCAGTTGATTGTATTTTTTTTTAAATGTGCTGTTTTGACCTGGTTTTAAGAAAGCCTAATAGCTGCTCTTTATACTGTTGTAACATAAGGAGCAACTGCATTCAACAGATGACAAGTGGCTCAGAACATCCATGTGACTATTATTATAAATAAACCTGAACGCCCACAGTTAGGTCTGTGTTGGTTTTCAGTGTCAGTGTTTGACATTTAGATTTTTTTTAGTATATTGGCTTTTCTTAGCAGGTGAACAGTATAAAGACGAACACAGTGAACAAAAAAAAAAAAAAAATAGAAAAAGAAAATCTACATCCACTCACGTTCCAGCTCCCTGTGAAGAGAAATAGCTTCTGATTCCACCTTTTTTCCAGACACCACAGATGACAACGCTAAGACCGTAGAGTCTTGGGTCTGAGCCTGGAGCTTAAGAAGGAAACAATAAAAAAAGACTTAAAACAGTGTTAAATGTTATATGACTATGAGTAGTTTGGCTATGACTTATATTCCAGAATTATTTATATATACATATATAAAATACCCCACATTATTGATGGCCACAAGAGGGCCCCGTTTGTGCCAAACATGACTTAACCACAAATACATCCTTGAATTCTAGAATATTGATATCCAAAATGAAAAAACAAAAACAAAATGCAACCAAAAAGAAACTGTCACAAGATTTTTTAGCAACAGGAGGATTTTTATTTCCGTGGTTGAATGCAGGAAGTATTTGACTTACCTGATGAATGTCACCCATTCCTTCCAGCTTTTTATTCACAGTCTGATTCAGAGTCTCCACCTCGTCCCTCACTTTACTGATCCGATCATCTTTGGTCTGGATTTCTTGGTCCAGTTCTTCAGTCTGCTGCAGCAAATTCTCAACCCACTGCACACGACGAAGGAAAACAAAACCTTAGTTAAAGAATTGCTCTCTGTATTTCTTTAATTAAAGATCCTGAACCTGAAGTGCCCTCCTCTGGAACAACATGTAACCCAATGGGCTGCTAGAATCTCCTCTCGTGTGTCCGCTCAGTGACCCCCCCCCTCCCCCCTCCTTTGAACATTTGCTTGCCAAATGTTAATTCAGGGGACAACTCCAACTGCCACTAACTGCCCACTTTCCATGAAGGAGAGTGGCTTCTGTCTGTGCCTGGGTCGACCACCTGAAGTGGCGTCTCACATTAAACATGCAGCAGCTCTAATTGGACCAAATGATATGATGGATCGGTCCACAACGCTCTGCTTTCTCTCCCCTTACGTCCCATTCCGGCCGTGCAGGCGCCGTTCAAACCCACCTCTGTTGTTGTGTTGGCTGTTTGCGTCTGGTCGAGGTGTGTTTGACCAGGCCCGGCTGAAAGGCTGGCGTTTGTCAGGTCCAGCTGAGGATGTAAGGATGATGTGATGTTAGTCAGGACCAGCTGTAGACCAGCAGCCGTCTTCTCCAGGGCCCGGTGTCGGCCTACGGTCTCATTCACCTGTGCTGTCAGATTCCACCTCTGCTCCTGCAGGTGGCTTATCCTGAAACATAAAAACACAGACAGTAAATAAAACCTACATAAGGAACGTTTTATTGTTTCTAAAGTAGCATCCAGAGCCTCATGTAGTCGAAAACCTTAAGATGGAATACAAGTTTTAAAATAATAGGGGAGAAATATTAAAATCAATAAATAGCTTTCGTGCCCTTGTTGCAAAAACGTGGTTTAGTTTAACTGCTGTACTGCAAATACAGAAAAATACCCTGTACGACGAGAATGATTTTCTTTTGAAAAGTGAACTTCCTACAACAGATAAAAACATCTTTATTTGGCACCAAGTATTCTCCAGTATATTTATATATTTATCAGTGTCTCTCTAATAATCAGGCCTGAGCTACAATACAACATTTGAGTGGTTCAGACTCAGAGTGTTTGTTCTGTGGTGGTAAATGATGGTCTTTCAATATGGAGTTAGCAGGTTTCTCCCATGTATTCTGGTACTCTATTCACACAGACCAAATACATGCAGTATTGGATAAACTGGACACATTAAATTAGTGATTCTCAACCACTGTACCACAGCAGATCATCTGGTGTAGCATAGATAATTGTCCAATTGTCCAATGTCTCATAATCGATCTGGAAACTACTATTAAATAAGCAATAATTTGGCTTCATTTGTGCAATGAATGTTGAATGTTGAATGTTGAAGAACATCCTACTGTGTTTTTCTTCAATTCCTGAGAGTATATCAGTGTTGTGTTCAACTAAAGAGGCTCAGGTTTCACACCTAGGTACACTGTACATGTCAGAATTAGCTTAGATATCAAGGTCTCGGGGAAGAGTGGTATTATATTAAGTAATAAACCTGTATGTAAATGTTTTTTATTGCTGGAGGATGCATTTTTAACACAGTCTTAGGCTTGAGTGTAGGTGTAACCTTTGTCAGTTAGTGAATTTTTATAAAGTGGGGCAGATTTTCCAAAGTTGGAGCACAGTTTTGGGTTTTGTAGAGACCCACAGCACAGTGTAGCTCTGTGCTATATTTAGACAGTCAGAACAGTTCTCAGCCCTGATGGCAGTCGCTGACTGTGTCCGTCCAAAAAGGTGTTGAAAAAAAGGTGTGACTCCCTGTAGGAAATAACCAGCTCCAAACTTCAGCGAATTTGAATTACAGTTGTTGGCAAAACAAAAACGATTGGATTAACGTAAGGCAATAAAGAAAGAATCTGATTCAAAGATTTGTTTTTGTTGCAGGAGTTTGTTGCTAATTTCTCTCTCTCTCTCTCTCTCTCTCTCATGTTTAATTAAAAACTAACAGTGTCACCTTTCATTTGACCTCACGATCATGGCATTTATTATTATTATGTTTCGCTGGTAATGTGGAAGAAAATGTAATATGCTGTATATAATGTATATACTTTTTTTGAACGGATATACTGTAATAGGTATCTTGACTTGGCATCAGAGTCTACTGTATTTTAAATTAAATTAGAGTTTCAAAAACAGACGCTACGTTTCACACCAATCACAGCTGTAAACCAGTTTGACATCAATTACCACGTTCTGTTCAACCTTCAAACAACGCTTGTTATGAGGGAGTAAAGACCAGGCTACGGAAGTGTTAACAACACTGATGAACTGACAGAAGTACAGAGGAAGTGTTAAGTTGATTTTTCTTTAACCTTCTTGGCGTTTGATTATAAATAATCTGAATTATCTCAGACGCAGGAGTGTTAGATACGGTATATTCCTGACACAAAAAAAGCCATTAATTATACTGAATGCTTTTGTTTTCGGCTTTCGTCAACCTATTCCTATCCAACCTCATCTCAATAAAAGTTGGTTAACTTATTTTCTAATGCTTAACGTTTTTCTTGGCCTCCGGGAGCGGGGGGGGAATGAGTCACTCACATTAACGTTTTTCTTGGCCTCCGGGAGCGGAGGGGGGAAATGAGAGCCAATCACAGCAGTCCTTGGACGAGGGTGAGGTAAATCCTCGTCCAAGAAAGATGTCGTTCACACTTACATACATACAGTTAATCAATTCATCTTGATTTAACCAGAAAATACTAAATCTAAGTCAACGCCGTCGCTTTACTTTCTAAATCCTGTTACTGGTTATTTTAGCTAAAAATATCTGGAATATCGTGTTAAGAGTAAGAGTGAGCGGGAAGCTCATTCTCTGAATATGAGATCATTTGTCTAATGTATAACATGCTAAAACGATTAATTATCTTTCATCTTTTTTTTTTAATTCCTTTTTGCAGTGTAATTAACCTAATTGCATCCCAATTTGCATGATTTTGGACTGTGTGTATGTGTGTGTGTGTGTGTGTGTGTGTGTGTGTGAAACCATACCAATGCTGTACAGAAACACTCAGCTATTGCACATTAGCATCTAATATCAAAGTATCAACTCCAGCGTGTTGGCAGTTTCACCAGCCTCACTTTTCTGAAGCGGTTTGTCCCGGCGTCTCTGTTAGTGACAACTGGAATATTGTCAGTTCCCTGTAAGGACAGCAGTCCTGCCTCCTAAACCCATTACATGGGCCACATGGGTCTAAATGTGTGAGAAATGTAATTTTATGCTGTCTATCTGTGTGGAAAGTGTTCAGTTCACAACCTCTGACGCGACACAAACACAAACACGCGTGGTCACACGGCGGCGTCCCGGAGATTAACGCAACTGTCTCCGAACTGAGCCCGCGACTACACGAAGGACGGTAATCAATTTTGAGTTTCTCGCTTCTTGCTCTCGTCGTGGCCACCGGAGGGCTTTTTGCATCATTCTGTCTAGCGTTGGAGATAATCCTCAGAGCAATCACACGCTAGGAGATGCAGCGAGCGTGTGGCAAATCCAAGACAGCAATAGGCTTACAGTGGAGGAGAGACCGTCCCCCTGTGGCTGAATGTCTCACTCTGAGAGTCAACGCTGATCAGCTTTGGGGAAAAAAAAATGCTAAGAAGAGAACGTCGAGCAGTAATTCAGATATAGGTGCACGTTGTTGGAAACAGAGCTGTAATCCAGGGAGTCGTTGGGCTTGTTGAGATTTGGAAATAACGTCTGCACAGATTCTTTAAGCTGGTGTGTGTGTGTGTGTGTGTGTGTGTGTGTGTGTGTGTGTGTGTGCTCACTGCTCTGTTAGGTTCCTGATGTACTCCTCAGTGGAGTTGTCCTGCAGCAGATCCATCAACAAAGCAAAGGTCTGCTTTGAGGCGCCTACAGCCCTGCTGGCTACGGCCTCAATGTGGTCTGCTGTTTCTCTGTGTCTGAGAAGAGAGGGAGACAAAGAGAGGGCAGGGAGGAGAGGGTAAGAGACGGGAGGCTGAGGGGAGACACTGGGAGCACCATGGATTTACAGACCATTACGAATGCCTAAGGTGAGATGAAATGGATTTTAACATCAATGACTTCCACTCACTCGCTCTCTTGTTCAGAATTCTGTAACTACCACATAATAGCTCAGCACTGGGTGAAGCAGCTGAAGGCATCGATTCACAGAGGCCTGGCCCGCAAGGTGGGAGCTGGGCTTTAAGGAGGGGAAAAAAGCCTGGAGAGACGGAGCTCCACACACTGCTCCAGAGGTCTGGGCTCCTAATTGACCACCGAGAGCCTTTTCACTAAACTCACCTTTCCATTAGAACCTGGGACTCGTTGACCATTATGTTCCATTTGTTTGGTCCTGACAGCAGGACGAAGGGGATTATCTGAAAAAAATAAAGAAGAAGGAAAAGTGCTACGTTTAGTGCGAACCGGTTCAAGTAGGATGAAAAATGAACAAGGCCGGACCTTGGAGAGAGTTTTACTGCTGACACTTTAATTGAACACATTCAGCCAAACCATTCAATTAGGAACAAAAACTTACTAATGGACTGGTTTCATCTCATGGGGCAGTGGACAAAAAAAAATCATAGGATTGAAATTCAAAAGTGTCTCTTCAACTAGCTTTTCCCCTTTTTACAGAATCTCTTTATAGGACTTTTATTTTGAAAAATTAATCAGCAAGTGTCAATGTGTTTCTAATTGAAAAGGTGATCTGGTCGCTGTGTTTTTTTTCTAGTCTAAGCAATGAATCTGGTCGCTGTGTTTTTTTTTCATTCAGTCTAAGAGTCTAAGCAATATGGCTGCTGTATTCTACTGTATTTTAAATGGTTTACTGACTGTGCATTAGAGCTGTGTTTCCCAAACCTTTTTTCTGGGGACCCATTTTTTAAAAGTCACAAACTTTCACGACCCAAGTCAATAGACATTATTCGTAAACTCCTGGGAAACAGGATGCAAGATGAAAAAAAAACCTCTTGCGGCCCACCTGAGGGTCGCGACCCAGTCCCTGGGAGACGATGTTTTAGAGCAGATGTACGATGGATTTACTGGATAAACATTGCTTTAAACACTAGAATGTTCATTTTATTTGTGTTATTTTGACAGCCCTAATAAACATCTAGCTATGTTTATATATAAATAACAGAGGTGACGCTTGACATTCAAAACAAATGGATACAGTACTAAGAATGTACTATAGTTAACTCGGACCACAGACAGCAAAAAAAAAAAAAAAAGAAAAATCAATATCAAATGGTTTCCAGTACAGTTTAAGTTAAATTAAGTTTAATTTAATATATTCAATTAATTGACTTTGTTTGACAGTTAATGAGTCTTCACTCTTTGACGTGGATGCATCATTACATCACAGTGGTTTTTTGAGTGTGATGAGTGTGAGTGTTGTGCAGTGATTCTGGTAACGTGAGTGTGGAGTGGAACGCTGGAGCTTCCTCCGGTCGCAACAAATGATTGCGAATGCAAATAAAAATAGGAAACTAAATTAATAATTGACACAGTCCCATTTTTATTTCGCTCGGCGGCTCTGCTTTACGAATGTGGAATTAAATCGCAGCTGCTTCTGGCTTATCCAAGTGATAAGAGGCGCGAGGTATTTCGGAACGCATTCACGGACAAGCAATCAGAAATAGAAAGGCGATGTAAAAAAAAAAAAAAAAAAAAGCCTCTCTCATCTCCCTCTACTGCATAATAAGATGGCACCAGAATCCATCATCAGCTTCCTGTAAGTGTTCTAAAAGCACAGAGTGTGCAGGGACAGACGGCTGGAGAGAAATAAGTTGTTAATATTAGCCTCCGTCAAACGTGGTTTGAGTTTTTCATTCCCATGTAGAAAAAAGGTCACGGTGAGAGAGCGAGGGAGAGAGAGAGAAGTGCTGTTCTGCTCGCAGGCTGCTTTAACAGTGGAGCGACACCACGGAGCCTGACTATGAATAGAAAATCTAATAAGGACAAGAAATCAATGGAGTTACGTACAGTGTCAACACGCTCTGAGTTTGGGGGGAAAGAATTACATCACAGCTGTCTGTGTGTGATTGGCCTACCATGGCGTCCAGCTCCACCGTTGCCTGTTTCAGCTGCTTCTGAGAGGCTCTCATCATAAGCGCTGCGTCTGTAAAGGTTTGACACACAGCCCTGCTTCCTTCATCTTCCCCGTTCTCCGGCTCCTCTTCCTCTGCCGTGCTGATGCTGCAGTTCAAAGCAGAGGCAACGTCGTGCAGCTGAGCCGAGAGCCTGCCAGTGGAATCCTCCAGGAAGGAAAACTGCTTTATGAAGGCCTCTCTGGCTTCTGAACACAAGGCAGACAAAAGCACATTCAGACCATGACCGATTAATTCACTAAGACGAGGATCAGAGGATCAACTGGTTGCAGCTCGTGAGCTCTTTCCTTAAGGTGTGAATTCAAACTGCTCTACGCTCTTTTTTTTTGTTCTCAGAAAAAAATGAAATGAAAATTAATTTTTCACCTTAACCTTTTGTAATAACACTTTACTCACAAATAAGGATAGACGATTAAAATGATCATAATAAAGTTGTGATACTACAAACAGAGAGATTTAAATCTCAGAATGAATAAAAACCCTAATGTGTTAGATTGAGGTATATATTTGTGAACATGAAGTGATAAATGGATGAGGCTGTAATATTAAGAGAGTATTCATGTGATGAAAAGTTCAAGTGTTAGGCTCTACGCTCAATTATAATGATGAGAGCAAATTCTGAGAATGAAGTTGTAAATTTACACAAAGTAAATTAAGGTACATTTATAAGAACAATGTTTTAAATTAATGGGAAAGATGTAAATATACAAGAAAAAAGAGTAAACAATAATATAATATAACAACCTTATTCACACTACAACTCCAAATACATTCACACTACATTAAATTAATTAAAATGTACAATTTATTCTCACACATTTCCAACCATAAATTCACACATTTAATTCATGAATTATGAAACTGATTTTTTTTTTTTTTTTTTTTTTAACGAGGGACTTGTTGAAGTGAAATGATTAAATTACACATGTGGCTACATTTTCATTTAAACCTCAGTGATGCCGTTAAGCCCATGTGTCTTTGTGTGCAGGAACGTAGGGGCGTACACTTAGAAAATTGTCACTGTGATTGGAGCGCTAATCATCATAAAGCGGAGATTAGAGATGTGCTGCCTGTCATACAAATAGGGATTAAGTTGGCTGCGCCGTGCCTTGTTTCCTATATTGTTATGATTTGTCTCCATTTGGCCTGTGCAGCCGAGCCTGTAAGCCGTTTCCCCTCCGAACATAATGATAATATATCAGCATTGTGCTCAAGTAATTGGGGGAGGTTTGTATTGTTGGCCGCCTCCTGATTTAATTGCTCGCTTGTGTCATATCTGTAACAGTGTCACACTAAGGAGACGGAGACAAAGAAGGAGCTCATTTGTGAAAACCCGGGGGCATTTCTGTGTCATTTCTCCTCCACGGCTGCTGGACGGCCGTATGCTGATGCAGCACGTTATCGTCTCAAAGCCAAACTGTCCCAGAGCAGGTCTGCGTGTCCTACGAGCTCTGTTAACACGTCATGACCAAAGAGGAAACTTTCAAAGGAGCGACAGGCTGAGTGGAATTATACTGGCTTCAGTCTGCCGTTACCTTGGAAGGCCAGGAAATCCTCCAGAGCGTTGGGCAGGGCATCTTCCCTTTGGTGTTCGTGCTCATAAACCTTGGTCATGTGATTCTTGCTCAGGTGGTGCTGCTTCCCAAATCTGCTCCGGCAATCAAACTGAGCCAGGAGCTTCTCCAAATCCTGCAGACGACTCCTCAGCCGCTCTGCCTGAGATAAATTTACAACTGAAGGTGTCAATGGGAACACAGACTTTACAATATATCCCTATAATATATATATATATATAATTATGTAATATCTGTAAGGGTTTTTCCCTGCCAAATGATGTCTGCTCTAAAAATAGTTTTGGGGAAAAACAGTTGTATATTACAGTGAAAGTCACTAGATGGCAGCATTGCAGCTCATTTTATTTATTTATTTATTTTTAATAATCAGGGGATTGTATGCAGAATGCTGGTGACAGCAACTCATACAGTGGTTTGTACAGCTAAATAAATAAATATTACCAGGGCTATATCGGTACCGGTTGATATCGGAATCAGAAATTAAGTGTTTGGAAAATATATCGGCATATTAGATAACAGCAAAAAGTTCATATCGGACATCCTTAAATGTATAAATGACTATCAACGACACAATAAGGATAAAATATGATTTTTTAAAAACTTGTTCCCGCACAGAACAATGTTGTGAGGAGAAATTCAACAGATAACTAAAACAGGGTTTATTAAAGAATGCGAAGGAAATATCCAGAAGGTTCTTTAATTGGCACCTATTATCTGACATTGAGACGTTTATGCAGTTGAACTATAAAAACGGTTTTAAAATTTCACTGCAGAAACAACGTCCCAGGTGTTAATGAGCTCACAGCCTCAGCTCTGATTTTCTTAAAGGTGAAGTATGGAAAACATATTTAATTACATCAAATCCCTTGTTTTTTTTCACATCACAGGAAGTATACGAGGCTGGGATCATCAATGAGAATGCTACCTTTCTTATACGCTTCCCTCTTCATAAACACAGAAACAATAGTGCCAACAAAACACATTTACAGTAAATAATTGAAATGCCTGATGTTTTCCCACTGAGTTTAACATGTATCCTTTTAATTGCGCTTCCCTTCTTTTAAGGTCTGTTTTTGATCATTGATCACACACACCACCGTTGTTTTCACAAGTCTTTTTTTGTACTCGTTAGTTTCCTTCCTTCCTGTGCATTAACCAGAGCAAAGAGACAGTGGGTGAGGAGGAGAGGAAGAGGAGCGGGTGAGGGGGGAGGCAGCAGGGATGAGGACAGTGAGAGTGATTGCAGGTGCTCAGAGCAGACAAGGCTCGGGATGTTCACTGAATTGTGAACACGGTGAAAATCACAGCATGCATTCACACGCGGACAAGCCTGTCCAGAGAGAACATGCACCCATTTCGCCTGGAACTAGAACACGTACGGAAACAGGACAGGACGTATTGGAGGGATTGGACGGGGCTCAGAAGGCAAACGTAAGGAAGCAGAACCTCGGTGAAAGGCGTGTGAGTTCCAACAAACCCAAAGGGACAGAAAGAAGCCGTACAGGAGATCATTAGGGCAAAAGTCTCTGTTTCACTGCACAGCTACAGTTTACTTATAACCTACAGCTATAAAAAGAGCCATGTGGCTGCTGTGAGGCCTTCAAAGACGGCACGGTACAGGGAACATTACAAATATACAGTATATGATGACATCTACTGCTCCTTATATCTGGGCATTTGAGGTTGTCACCAGTTAAACGTCTAAACCAGAAGGATAAGAAGGTGGAAACACGCTGGTCGACAGTTGTACCATCGAGACACTTGCGTGGGTCTGTGCTTGGTCAAAATAACCTGAAAATATCTGTAACGGTCATCGCCTTAACATAACAAGGGCTTTCAATGACTTTTTAAATTGGTCGTTTAACGTCTGCAGCCCAAATGTGTAGCATCTGTAGCAGGCACATCTCTGGCCTTTAAATTCTTTAAATTAAATTCTCATAGTTTTGTTTTTGTGAAGAAGGTTAATAACAACACCTGCTAACAGTGATCTTATACTGGTCCCTAATCTTTTTACACCAAGGACTAGTCAGCTGCTACTGCAGACCAGTAATACCATCGTTGAAGGACCATTACATTTAAAAAATGTATTTTTTAATTTAATAATTGAATCGTTGAAGGACCATTACATTTAAAAAAAAAAAACATCTTTTTGAATTTATTTTGTTAGTATCGGAGTCTGAATGACCGGATTATCTTTTAATGAAAAAAAGTAAAATATGATGATAAGATATGACTGGATTCTTTTTTTCAGTGTCCCACTGGGGCCCATATTAATTTTTCAGTGTCCCACTGGGGCCCATATCAACTACGGACTGACACTGGTCCCCGGACCGGGGGTTGGGGAGCCCTGTTTTAGACAACATGGAGTTATTTTTAACACCTTAAACAAAATCATGTGGAACGAGGCTGAGGCGAAGACAGAAACATTTGGTCAGATGGTACAATGATACACATTGATATAATTGTCCTAAAATACACAGAGACATAAAAAGCAACTAAAGTTAATTTTCATTAACATTAACCACATTAACTACATTAACTCACCTGTTTCATGACGAGGCCGTAGCAAACTGGACATTCCTCACACTGATACGTGTCCCTGCTATGGTAATAATTCAACTCACACTGGTCACATTTGTAACCAACAAAGCCCGGGCGACATTGGCAGGTACCATTACTGTGACACTGCATGGTGATGGAGCCCATCGGGTCACAGTTACAGGCTGGGAGAAGACAACAGACAGAAGATTGATGGGGGCGGATAACAAGAGATAAATGTGAGAGAGAGAGAGAGAGAGAGAGAGAGAGAGAGAGAGAGAGAGAGAGAGAGAGAGATGAGAGAGCCTTAGATGAATGTCTTGTACCTCTGCAACCCTGAGATGAGAATCCAAAGAATCCCATCCTACAAATGTCACAAAGTCTTCCCTCCACTCCTGTACGACACATGCACTGGCCCGTGACGGGATGACAGGCCATGGATTGAGAACCTATAGGATTACACTTGCACCTAAACACAGAGAAAGATTGTTTATTATTTATGGCTGAGTCTGTCTTATTTGTTGAAGTTGTGATGTGTTTCAGTACCTTACCTCTCACATCCTACTCCCGCTCGGAGGTTGAAGAAGCCAACTTCACAATAACTGCAATCGCGACCAGTCACGTGACTGAGGCACGGACATGTTCCAGTCTGGGGGTGGCATTCATTCACCTGTCCTGATGTTCCTGCAGGGCTGCAGTCACAGGCTAAAGAAGAAGAAAAAAAAGGAAATAAAAACAGCTTAAAACAAACATTAACTTCTTAAACTGGGGTAAAAACAATAATGGAGAGTTATAAAACCACTCTTTTGTGCTGTAATAGCTTTGTGTATTTCAGAGGAAAAGTAAGAAATAAAAGGAAACAGCCTCAATTCTCTGGATTTGTTCACCTTTAATCCAGATATTTTAATCGTATTCCTCTTTTTATTCTCTCAACAGAATGACTCTTTTCTTTCTCTCTTTACTCCGCACCGTTTGGCCCAAACCATTTTAACCGTTGACTCTAATGACTCATGAGTGCTGCGGCTCCACCTGTTTAAAGCATGAATAGAAAAGTTGACTCTATTAGCTCGTACCGCTCTCTCCACAGGCTACACCCAGAGCCGTGTTTGCATTTATGCAACCGGTTGTGAATATCCTTTGCTCTTCACTTGATTTTTCTCATTCTGCAACATATCCAGGAAATCAGGTTGTAATAAGATTTTAAGATGGAACGTTCTTGCGCATTTAAGAGAAATTAAAGATCTCTCTTTTCCCATAATTACTATCAAATTAGGACCTAATATGGTTAATCAATTTCTGTGAGTGGCAGGTTGTGAAAGGTTGTGTGTTCATCTGCAGTCATCCAAAATTGTGCTTCTATTTTTTTCTTTTTTTTTTTTGCAGCTTATTATAACACAAAGCCAGTAGGTGGCAGCAATGTAACTTGTGCTAGCTAGCTATAAACAAATCAAATATGTCCCAAAAGATTAGCTTAGCCTAGCTGGTTCTCAAAAAAGAGTAAAAAAATCTAAATACATGTATTGGTGTTACAAAGTGTAGTTTTACATATGTTTATGTTTATGTCTATATGAGCTGTTTTGAATTTGAATATGTAGTTTTGTGTGTTTAAACATGGAAATAATGTACGTTATATATGTGGTTAGCTCAAAGCGCTATCTGTGATCGACAACAGACTCTAAAAATATTTTAAGCAACTAAAGGAATACATTCACCTTAAAACTAATTCTGCTACATTTTCATTGAAATTAATCGACTTTTGATGATTTTTGTTTAATTAAGTTGTAGCACAACCTGCAGAGAAGGAAGAGATATAATCTCTGTTTACAGGAAATAAAAAAAACAAACAGAATATTTGACATTAATCGTATTACCGTAACTACAGATAGTTTTAATTTTTGTACAATGAACACAATTTTTTCTAATGGTTAGACTTGACTTCATTTGTCTAACCATTGACTGTATCGTGCTGAGCTACATTCCAGATATGTTTCAGCACAAGTTATTCAATAACCTGGAGAAGAATCATTGAGGAAGAATGTTAACAGATGAACATGCTGTCAAATAAAAAAAAAAAACACACCAAGGATGACTTATTTTTACACAAATCCCACGGGGACTCACACTTGCACTTCTGGCCTGCCGTCTGACTCTGAGCATCTCCATAGAAACCTTTCTGGCAGCGTTGGCAGTGGTCGCCCTCTGTGTGTCCCAGACATTTCAGACATTGACCAGTGACGCGGTCACATATTCCCACCGCATTGAAGTCCACGTTGCCGTTGCAGTCACACGTCACACACGGTCGAGCCCCCCCGCGGTGTCCCAGAGGATCTCCATAGTAACCGTCTTCGCACATCTGACAGCGTGTTCCTGCGTGAAGAGCAAAGGTGAAAGAGATGAGCAGGGATTAGATGGATGACTGAGTCGGAACACAGCTGGAGTTCGTGTTCGCAGCACTGCTGAGTCTGTGTCGGACTCTCAGGTGGTGCCGTGAAAAGACAGCACCTGCAAATGAGCTCCTTTAAAGCTTTAGACTTTTCTACATCCAGGTCTCATGCAAGGACGCTGGTACTTCCTGTCAGACAGTTTGAGAGATGAGAATGAGGATTATTCACAGGAGATACTGTTGTTAAAGATTTTATTAATGGTCCTCTTTGACTATTTCCTTGGTCCATCCTTGGTTTTCATCTCTTTCATTTACCCTTTTCATCCTCACTGACAGATGCAGATTCTCTCTTAAAGAGATGCCATGGGTGTGTGTTAGTTACTCTATCTTCACAGCATACACTGTTCTAGCTCAGAAGTAGATGATAATGTATGCCGAGTTATTAAATGTTGGACACTGGCAGTAGAAAAATCAAATAGAGTCAAGAACCCTAGCAGTTTTCTTGTATCTTAAGACTTCCAAACTGCTCTGACCTCCAGCCAAGTCAACCTCTCTGTGATTATTAGGATTACTTCATTTATCATGAACCGTGCCTTCAGACAACGTCATTTGGCGCTACACAAAACGCGATGTTGTTTTAATTTCGTATCAATTTGTTTCCCCATCCGTCACTATATTCAACCTATTAACTGAAAATAAGCGGCGCTGCCCCGGCAGCCGTTCATCTCACCTGTCTGTCCCGGGGGACAATTGGTACACGCCACCTGTCCTGTCTCCGAAATTTGAGCACAGCTGCTTTGGTGGGGACAAGGACAAGGCTGACAATCACCGGGCGTGCCAATCAAAGCGTTGCCATAGTAACCGTCCAGGCAGCGTTCGCAGTTCCTCCCAACGGTGAAGTCTGAGCACAAACACACACCTGAAACAGAGATGGGAGAGAGAGAGAGAGAGCAACAATAATATGCTTTTACCACTCACTCTCTGCTGCACACACACACACACACACACAAACACACACACACACATCCAAAAGCTGACACACCAGCACTGCAGTGGGTGGTGTTTTTCCCAGCTCCAGCAGAGTGTGCTGTGTCTCTGACCATTGGCACACACCACAGTCAGAGCAGAGACGACTGAATTCAACCGTGTTGTCACGACTTTGGGGAGAAATCAGAGCCAAACGCGCTGAGAAAGACTGTCGAGATGTAAAGTTACAAAGCAAGTGGAAGTTTTTCTCGTGATATCGACTCAGCGTTAGGTCAGAGCCAACGGCACGTGACAAATAAAACTAGCTTTATTTACCACTGTACACTGAACAACCGTCTATAGACAAATATATAACTGAGCAAAATTCAAAAAGTATTTCTTTAATTTACAAAACAAAAGATACAATATTCACTTTTTTTTGCGTACACCACGTGTTACTGGTTCTAAGCACACAGAAGCTAAAAGAAGCTAGCACATAGAATAACCTTTCCTATTGTACAAGAATCGCATTTTTTATGTGTTTTGTTCCTGAACTTTTACTCACGACTCACCTTCTAGAGTTTCCTACTTAGTTTATTACAAAGTGGTTTCCTGTCCTTTTCACTAATAACCAGGCCTTTGAGTGCAAAGTCATTTTATACAAAATTTTAATTGGCCTCAATAACAATAGGGAAAAGGAACCTTTTCTCAAATGTGCTCTGGGCCAGGGTTTTTTAAACCAGTTGAATTTGAATTTGCGTATAATAAATCCACACATACACATACATAATACTGTGTATTGTATATTATGTAATTGTTTTGGAAATGGAAATAAAAGTACTCCAGTGTTCTTTAGAGCTAAAGATGTGTTTTTGTCATACTGGATGATATGTGACAACCAATCACTATTGAGTGACCTGAGCTAATGTCTAGCTACTGACTAACTAGCTACTGACTACTGCTAACAAGGTACCATAATGATGTTGAACAAACATCACCTTCACATCTTATTTAACGCTTAGACCAATACAATGGACTGAACCCTTTAGACAAAAAGGCCAATTTGTTCAGCCATTGTTGTTTCCACGTATTTCTATTACAAAACACAGTTAAAACACACCGTTAGCAAGTAGCTTCGATTAGTAGCCATTAAAAAGGTAATGGCGCAATTCCCCTTCTCCAGTAAAGTAAAGATGGCACAGACAACAGAGAGAACAAAACTACAACACATTTATCCTACGTTTGTAGGTCACTGGTGTGTCACTTCTCCGACAATACAGTTAGCGCTAGGAGCTAAAACAAGATGATCAGTTAAAAATACCACCAGAGTAAGAGAGCTGAGTCAAACAGCGGTGTTTTCTGCTGCGGTCTGGAACAACAGGTCTGTGGGCATTAGCAGCCTCTCTACAGAGCAACCTAGAAAATGTGACGTGATATAATGTGGCAGCTGAGTTTTCATAACTGAGTGGCTAAAGCCAACAAAGCAATACAAGATAATGGGAGTCTATGTTCCCTGGGAAATCATAGCAAAACGTCACTGCTCAAAGTACTTACAGTGTTGAGGCATCACAATTAACAGATATTTGTTTTAATAAACTTTTTTAAACATTTACTTCAAGTAAAGTAGTAGCTGCCTGGTGCTAACATTTTGTCTTACGTTTTCTGCATTCTCCAAGTTAATCTTAATTTTAATTATTTTAAAATTTTCTGGACACAGGTTTGGTGGACACCAATAACAGCACGAGCAGCAAAAGGACCTCAATGATCAGCAAATTATTTGCAAGCCAATTATTTTGAATTCTCATTAAAAATTTTCCTTTGTAGCCAGAGGTGTTGTTTAGCAAGAAATTATTTGCTGTGCATTTTTAAATTTGGCTAACACCACAGGATTTTCTACACAAAAAAAAAAAAGAGAGAGAGAAAAAAGAATCCTTTAGCCAGCAGTGACTGCAACAAAAAGTCTCCCAAAACTAGACAAAATCTATTCATTTGAGAGTAGGCAAAATAACGGCTACAAATATAAATGATCGCACAGCGGATGGGAGGATAATTATCCAATTCTTGGTGAAGTATAGACCTCTTAGCATAGCACCATTAGCTCTTCAGCGAGGTGCGGAGGATAATTCTAATCACGACATGCAATAGTACTGAGGACAGTACTGGAACTTGGTCATAATGATTGTTCCTAACACCAAGAAGTGAATCTCTCTTGGATTTCACAAGACATTACAATGGCACCGATAATGTTCACTGTCAGTCCCCAATGAGCCGTAGTAAATTTAATGACAGTAAAAAAAAAGTGCTGACTTTACTGAGTGTGAAGATGACTGAGCGTGATATGAGGCCAACGCAGGAGCCGCCGAGGGCCTCCTTCACATCATTATTAACATTCCATTTGCTCCTCAGAAAAACAAGTGGCACGCAATGTCAACTGTCACTAAATCTAAATAAATACATGGTACTGACCAACGGTGTTTTCTATACGAGGTTCACTGTAGAAATGCACAGTACTGTTTGCCTTTTTTTTTCTTTTTTTTTTTCTAAATCCACTCCCTCCACCTGCTCCTGTTCTCCTCGTACACTCATCATTCACCGTCAGCACTTCAGTTCCACACTCTTTGCTTGAACCCAGGCGCTACGCGACGGCCAAGCGTCGTTACAGAGTAGTGAACCAGAAGTGCGTCTCTACTTTTTTTCCATCCATGCAGTAGACTAACGCGGTTATTTTATTATATTATACATGTATTATACATTAAGGCATCCACTTTCAGAGAATGAGAAACACACCGGTGTGTTAGCCTTGAAAAAAGGAGCGGCCTACGAGTATGAATGGAAAAACCGGCACTCGCATTACTCTTTTGACACGCTGCTTTCTTGTTCACTGTGATAGAAGTCTCTCTTTCAGCGCTGCTTCAAAGATAGCAGTGACAGAACAACAGCGATGGCAAAAATGGATGATAAGCAGGTTTGTTTTCGTTGGGTAGATCAGAGCTCTCTGCTTCGTCTGTTATTACACTCTTACTTCCTGGGTTTTATATTTCAGGACAAACAGTCCTTCAAAATAGCCACATGTCATTCTCTGCCTTCTTGGGAGGTCTTTTTCATGGACAACATGTGAGGTCTTTAGTGGGTTTGTGTGTTTGTGTGTTGTGAGACCCCAGACATAAGCAAACCTGGGTCCAAAGAAACACGTGGCTGTTGCAATTACATGAATTACCAGGCTGTTTATTATCAGGCACAAAAGCTCAAAGAGATTTTTTTTTTTTTTTTTACAAGAATGACAACAAAGATTAGACGACAAAAAGGACACTTTTAAAATGCTCTCTTTTCCACAAAAGGCTAGACTCCTTAGACCAGGGGTCACCAACGTGGTAGCCCCCGTGGACTACCTAAGGTGCCCGTGGGGTATGTTCTAAAAATAAAACTAGTCAACAAGAGGGTCAAAGATTGTACTGTTACTGTGCTTTTTGGATCAGTTACACTTGCAGTGTGTCTACATTACGTATGTACTATTATAACTACTATGGTTTGTCCCAGAACGATTGTACTGTTACTACTAAATCGCACCTTTTTTTCATCCTTTGGCTTTGGAGTTTGCGAATTATACTCAAGTGCGTCTTATATATTAAAATATATAATCTCACATGTTTGGTATTTTCACACTGACAGCCGCTAGAGGGAGTTTTTTTTTTAATCCTTGTGCGACTTATAGTCCAGAAAATAGGGAAATTAATATTAGACTTTTAATATTAATATTAGGCTGTTTGTCCAGTCTGTATCAAACAATTAGCTGTTCGTATTTCTAAGAATCTCGGTTTCAAAAAGGTTAGTGACCCCTGCCTTAGACCTGGTAGAACACCGAGATGCTCCGTGCTGCGGAGATCCTTCTTCTAATCCACGTGCGCTCCCTGTCATAACAGCATGAAGCAATAACAGGTGAGGGAGACAGAGAGAGAATTTGTCACGTTCAGGGTAGAAGTTAAGTTAATTCACAGCAGACTGTGTTAGATGTCAGTTCAACACACACACACACACACACACACACACATGCTGCCAGCACCAGCCTGGGCAGCTGCAGCTACAGCTTGTCACTGGCTCTGAATCAGTANGGAAGGAGAAGAGTAGCGGTTGTGTCCACCCTCATGCATAATGTGCACAGTATGGATCACTGGGGTAATATGTTTCGGTCATATTGTGAGCGTAATAAAAACTTCTCTCTTTGGTGTACCGAGGCTGTCAGCCAACTTGTTATGGCCGTGGCCCCTGGGGTTCAGGCTTGGGAACACTAAACTAACAATACAGGTCTCACCAAAGTCCTGGGTCACCGACGGAGCCATGAAAACCTTAGACTGTGAAGTTTACTCTGAATCTAATGCCGCTCCAAAGGTGCAGAGGGCAGGACAGAAAAAAAAAACAAGATTGTCTGGTGCCAAGTATAATCATAATTCATGGTCCACAGAGCAGGGGTGGCTGCGAGGAATTCTGGGCCCCATGGATGGATATGACGATGAGCCCCTCCAGTATGGAACACATGAATATATTTCTACATACAGTACCAGACAGAATAAGCACTACAAGAAATGTCTCAAAGGAATATTGTACAGTAACATTATAATACATTAATATTTATATTTATCAGGCGAGGTCCTTGGAATCCTCCCTCCATACAGTACCACTGCCTCAGAGTGATATTTATACATTATGTAATCTGACGCTACCAAGACGTTTCCTCTAACCGTCAGATTCATTTTTTATGGAACTTCAGTGATTTAGTTTCTACTACATAACAAAAAAAGTTACAAATTTCTATTATTTACACATTTTTATCTCATGAAAATGTTGATGTTAAAGCATCTGCCTTAAAGTGTTTGAGTGAACTGTGCATGTTCTGAATATTATTAATGATGTTTTTTCTGTCAAAAAAAAAATAACAGTAGAAAATAAAAGAAATAA